TTTCGATAGATTCGAGATCAAGGAGATTGGTCTATAGTTTGAGATGTCCCTTTTGTCTCCGCTTTTGAAAATTGGTTTTACAACAGCCGACTTGAATATTCCAGGAAATATTCCAGTTGACATCGATAAATTGAAGAGCCATGTTAAGGGTTCACTTATTTGATGAGCTATCAGTTTGAGTAGTTCAGCTCTCAAGCCATCTATTCCAGGTGATTTTCTGTTTTTTAATGTCATTATAGTATCGATCACTTCTTTGTTATCTGTTTCTGCCAAAAAGAATGAATTGGGTACGTTCAATAGATTTTGTTTATTTTTATTCATATTTTTTTCTATAATTTTTGTGGCTAAATCTTTTCCAATGCTAACAAAAAAGTCATTGAACATATTAGCAATTTCCAATCTGTTCTTTGTTAATGTTAATGCTTTATATAAATATATATCCATTTTTGTATGTTCATAATTTATCTGAGAATATTCCTTTTCAACAATAAATTGCTATTCATACCAAACACCAGGGTGGAAATTATGGGAAGTGAAATCGGATTTCAGTCAAAATTTCACTTTTCTTGATGACAAAAATCTTGGAAAATAACTGAATAATTACAGCAAGAAGGTCATACAACAATCTATATATATGATCACCAACAAGAGTAGCAAAGTTCCCTTCTTACGATTATAACATTGCCCTACTCCTATTATTAGATGCACTCACTAGCGGTGGCAAAGTCAGATACCTACTACAGAAACATAGTCTAATAGCAAAAGGTATACAGATGCACTCGCTAGTGGCAGCAAGGTTCTATATATCTAATAATCGCAGGTGGGTTATATTCAGCAAAGTCGACTTTATAATCACAGGTGATACTCGCTTGTCCCCTATGCTGTTAGAGTTTCTTACTGGGGTAATTCGATTTCTGACTATGGTTAATAGGAATTTTCCTCAGTGCTGGATTAATCATCTCTCAAACAAAATATCTCCAAACAATAATCCTAGAATAGGTCAATTCTGATTTTTGAACTTAACTAAATTAAATTGACTCGTATAAGGATTTTTCGAAATATTTTTGGGTTCGGCAATAATAAATTCATTCTAGTTTTCAAATTTACACTGTCGATTATAGATACATACCCATAATTAGACCTATATAAATCACTAAAATCATGACATGCATGATATGGACACAGTGCCGGATTAGTCACGTAGCAAGAGTAGCAAATGCTACGGGGGGCCCGCCAATTTGGGGGCCAAGGACCGCCCCACGCTCCAACGCTTGTCTTATGGCGGATTTATGCAACATTTGCATAGTTCTAGTCTCAGTTCTAAGCATAGTCTCAGTATTAATTTTTGTCTCAAAGATTTAAGGTATTTATCCAGAAACATTGAAACTTGATTTAAGCATAAGAGTCATATCGGAATTTGTGGTTCTTTTTGTATCAGAGATGGGGAAAATTATCTATCAAACTTATTAACATCTGAGCTTTCTCATAATATCATTTTCGGAACATGTAAACAACAAATCATTGATAATTCTATCAAAGGAGCATGCGCAGAATCCACATAACATAAGCATAAGCATAAAAGTTCAAATCAATCAACTTTCATGGTCGTTTCTTAGGCTTGTGCTTATGCTTATGCTTAAGACTAAAATTGTTGTGTAAATGGCCTCATGCAAGTACCTTGTTGCAACTTCTAGTTATGCTTAAAATTATGAATGAGAGATTAGGACTATGCAAATGTTGCATAAATCCACCATTACTGTATCAAAGATGCATCAGATCTGTACGACTGTGAAGAATACTATCAGCAATAAACATAGGGACGAATCAATAAGCGATATACAACCATTTCAGCGGCTCTCTAATACACTCGACGACTTTGTTGAAAATCAAACACCTGGACAACGTTTTGAAGTTCAGGTATTTATTTCCATTATTGATAATGTATTGTGTGCTTCAACTAAACGTTTGAAAGCATCTCATGAAATTACTAGTGCTTTTGGAGTATTTCGACAGCGAAAGAGATTTTGGAAAAATCCTCAATAATTAATGGTCAGTGTTTACACAGATGATTTGGAAATCAGCCTAGGCGACGAATTGCTGCTCAAAACGAATGTGGGTACTGTCATTCAGAGCACCAAACAGGAGCCTCTGTAACTACAATTTAATAAACTCTCATTGAATAATTCTTTAGAATCATGTTTCCCAAACATAGAAATTTCCTTGCGAATTTACGTTTATCTCATGATCGCTAACTGTAGTGGCGAACGTTTTTTTTAGTATTGAAACGTAATGAACCAAGAACGTCTCAATCATCTCACATTGATTAATATAGAACATGATTTGCTTGAAGAAGTCGATATTGAAAATGATATCTCTGAATTTGCCTATATAGGTTTATCCAGAGAAGTTTATTTGTAATATACTGTCTGTAGGTTAATCGAGGAGGTGGTACATTCATTTTACTTGGTTCTTTGGGATTTTCTCTCCTTTTTCTATAAAATAAAAGTATTCGTATTATTTCAATATATTTGTAGAGGGACAAATCAGATGATTTGCCCCAAAATGTCACTGCGTTTAACAAATTTTTCTATCAGGGAGTCTAAAAGAAAAATCCAGTAGCTTGTCAGTGACAATTTGTTTGAAAAAATGTTTGAAGGAAAGAAATATAGATATATTGAAAAAATATCGAATTTGTACTTATCTTTGGACGTTTCGGGACCGATTCTGCTCCCGTTCTCAACATGTAAATGCAAATTATTTTTCTTTGAGAAGTGTCAAACTATATACGCAGCACAACTTTCAAAGAAAAATAATTTGCATTTACATGTTGAGAACGGGAGCAGAATCGGTCCCGAAACGTCCAAAGATAAGTACAAATTCGATATTTTTTCGATATATCTATATTTCTTTCCTTCAAACATTTTTTCAAACAAATTGTCACTGACAAGCTACTGGATTTTTCTTTTAGACTCCCTGATAAAAAAATTTGTTAAACGCAGTGACATTTTGGGGCAAATCATCTGATTTGTCCCTCTACAAATATATAGAAATAATACGAATACTTTTATTTTATAGAAACGAGGAGAGAAAATCCCAAAGAACCAAGTAAAATGAATTATTTGTAATAGTTTCATTTTATTTTATTCAATACCCTGATCTTGATAACCTGAAACAAACCAAGGGCCACTGACAGAATTTGCTACACTCCCCGCGCTGGCTTAATCCGGCGCTGTATGGACATGAATGTCCGAATGATGGATATATTTTTCAAGTAATTCTTACATTTAAATCCCACTGAATGAGAACTTGGCAAACTAACTGACGAAGCGAGGGTAATCAATCAATGTCAAGATTTTCTTTGCACCGTTTCTATAATCTATACTGTTTGAAAGTACCTCATGAAATATTTTTTTTTTAGTACGAGAAGGTAATGAGTGAGCCTTCAAACTCGGCGTTTTTTTAGTCTCATTCAAACTAATATAATGGATTATCTACTGAGGTATATTTCACGAGTTTCATTAGTTTCATTCTTTGAATTATAACAAAAATATACACACAAGGGAACAGGAAACAATTGTTATATTGAATGTTGTATATATTTACATAATATACAGGGTATGTCACGACAAGCTTGCACTATCTCTATATCAATGCAATGCAGTGTTGCCGCTTCTATGAAAAAGTAGCAACAACTTTGTTATTTCAAATAGAATACCCTGTATTTTATTGCATTTTTAGAATCTTCCTGAAGAGCTGATTTCATCGATTCATCACAGTTGGGGTCTATCGGAAATGATTACAGAAATATAGGGTGTCCAAAATCGAGATTTTTCAACTTTAGGATTTGTTTCTGTTGAAACTATTCATTTTAGAGAGATATAATTCCCATATCACTGATACGAATGTTTTTTTTAAGTTCCAAGCTCATCAAGATCAGAGTTCATACAAGTATACTTATCCTATACATTTCAATTTTCATTTCAATACTGAACATATTGGAACAGATACTGAATCTTGAACCACCCTGTATCTGTTCCGATTAAATATCAGTAAATAGTGAATCGAAAGTTGAGTTTGGGACAAGTAAGTCGTTTTGACCGATAATGAATGGTTTCAACACAAAAAATTCTAAAGTTGAAAAATCTTGATTTTGAACACCCTATATCTCTGTAATCTTTCGCGATCGATTCCAAGTGTGATACATCGATAAAATCAGCTCTTTAGCGAGAATCTAAAAGTGGGACAAAGTACAGCAGGGTTTCATTTGAAATTTGAAATATCAATGTTGCTACTTCTTTCTAGTAGAAGCGGCAATACTGCATTGCTGAAAATATTTTAAATGAAGAAAGAGAGCGTATTCTAAAATATATGCATGTATATTCATGGATTTCTCCTGACTGATTCTCGATATAGAGATAGTGTAAACTCGTCGTGACATACCATGTATAAGTACATAATTTACTTATATTATACTGCATAAAGAAATGTATATATTTTTGAAGGCCTATTGCGCAGAAAGTATATGACGACTAGAACAATATCAAAAATGTTATTTATCAAGTTGTATTCAGAAAATTTTGATGAAATTTTATATTTTTTCAGCTCAGAAAAGGAAATCAACGGAAATCAACTTGTGTAAAACCTTGTATTGACATCTTTCACCGCCCACTGTGCACTGTGTGACGTACCATCCTCATTTCTGCTCCTAATTATTCTCATATAATAGTTATTTTATTTTTTCGAGGCAGTGTGAATCATACCCAGAAATAATGAGTCGCTGCTACGTGCTGCTACATTGTTATATTTTTTGAATAGTTCATATCTTTCGGTGACTCAATAGTTTTCGGTTTCTGGGGGAGTTTCCATGCATGCTTGGTCATCAAATATTTTAATAATTGAACATTCGAGGCGAGCAACCCTCCAACACGTGTGCTCTAATCACATGGATTATGGGTTCTCTTTGGGACTGACTATATTAGGGAATAAAACGATTATTAATTCTATAAAAACAGTAACATGTTTTATTTCTATTTTATAAGCGTATTTTTACTATGACTAGCTGTAGAGTATATATACTTTTTTATATATGTATATATTTATATTACATTAGATATTCACAATGTTAAATACAATATTTGGGGCAATACTGCACCCCAAGCAGTTTTTCAATATATATACAATGATAGGTATTTCTTTGGTGTAGGAAAGATGTACCCACAAAATGTACAGAATATATACTTTTTAAAGGAATAAAAAACTTGAAGGCTCAAAATAAACTAGTCAACATTGAAGTGGATCATCTGAAAATTTCGGAAGGGCAAGTGACACTTTTTATGATATTTCTATAGAAGTTTGGCAGACGAGTCACATAGAGTGAATATTACTTACTCAATTTAAAATGTTTTATCAATATTTATCTACTTCAATAATGATAATGTCAAGCTGAATATTTTTTCAGTTGTTACTTCAACTTTAATCCAATGAATATTTTAGACAATATGTGATTAAATTTGAGTGAAATTTTCAACTGATCTGCTTTGATTGACTGGATTATCATGAATTTCGGGATCGATCAATACGAGTCTTCAATACAAAAATAAATTTTAGAATATTTGAAAGATCAGATAAATATTTTTCAGTCCATTATCAAAATCGCGATCCGAGTAATACCCTGAAGTTCCATTCTTTGAGCCGATAAGATTTCTCATTCCATGATTAATGATAAGTATAATCAAACTTTACTCATCTGAACCTAATAGATAATATGCATATCTTGCTTTTATACATGTATGGCTACTTTGAAAAAATCGAACAAATTATAAACAAATGAATCGTACAATTCACTGGTTGATCATTTGTCGAAGTAAATACTGTATATCCTATTATTTGGGAAACTGTTATAATACTTTCAGAAGGACATAATGTTATGAAATAATATGAGGCTGAGCGATGTTTGGCAAAACACGATTTTCAGGAAAAAAATTGTCACAGTATAGGTACTTTTGTATTTGAATGAAATTGTAATAACCACAGGAGATAATTAGGTTTTTCGAAGTTCATAATATTTCGAACTGAATGATTTCGTTATTTGAATATATAGATGTCACAGCTGAATAAACAAAGAACAAAGCGGTATCCGTAAAATTTTAAAAATTTCAACCTCAGTACCAACAAAACCCGCTTTCACCTATTTCAAAATATCTTCAACCAATTTAACTATTAATTCTGAAAGCTGTATATGCATAGCAACAATAGGATATAGAAAACAAACTTGGCAAAAAATATTTTTTTGGAAAAATACGTTGGTATGAGAACGTATCAACGTATCCCCATGTCCCCTGTGGCTAACAATCGTGATGAGAAAAAAATGTTTGCATATATGAAACAATTACATCAAAATGCCATAATTCAGTTCTGAACATAACATCGAGTAAGGCGTATTCTTCAAATTGCTTCATATATAGGTATAGACTTACAAAGCAACATGTATTGTCTATCATCTATAATAGTTATGACCCGTAAATATTCTGCCACATATGTGCTGGTGTCCAATCACATTCAATTATCATCTAAAGGATCTTAGATCAAATTCCTAGTGAAAGACAAACGCTTAATAGGATTATTTCTCAACTCTTCAACAGCGACCGCAATAACCCGAATTTCGGTTACAGACTCTTGAAAAGATGGCTGATGATAAGGAAAATGACGTAAGTACTCTCAGGGGAACCCATTTCTTCGATGGCAATTATCTTGACACTCGAAGCAGTCGAGATAAAGACCGACCATAATTAACATCGTCCTTCCAACCCTTATCATGTTGGTGAACAGTTGGTAGGTACTGAGCATTATTCAATAGCTTCTATGGCCTCGCTATCCTGTTAAGCCTTACGACATCTGACACCTCATTTCCTATACACGACATTCACAAAGATTTCTTTCTCAAGCAAGAGTGGAAAATGATTATACCAAAAGACTGCTCGTATATTATCGATGACAAGATGCGAAACACAAACAAATTATCTTCTACGAAATAGTTATGGATGATTCGTAATCCATGGTTCAAAGGTGAAAATTCAATGAATCTATTGATAGGAGACCACCCATAGATTAAAAATATCAGTAATAACTATCAGCTTCAATGTTATTCATGAATGGCCTTTCCTAGACTTATCATTAGTGGTAAATATTTGTAGCAGACGAATTCCTCAATTTTCTCATGGAAAATTTCATCACGAATTGAGTAGTGTTATTATGAGAAGCAATTTGGTTCTGTACGTTCCTGCAATACATATAATTCCAATAAAAAACATGAGGTATTCGGAATAAACAAGAAAACAAGTATTTACCATAATGATATATCATGAGACTCGTCATGAGACTATTTCACGGAAAGCATCAGCAGAGTGAGATCTTATAAGACGTTGGTCATGCAATTTGAAATAAGGTTATTAAGGTAGACTGCCCTGAGATACCGCAATTGTTGAAGAGTTTTTGAAAAAATCCATCATTGCTAACAATTTTACCAAAGGCGAAATTTAAATCTACAAAATAGAAACGCTTTTTTGGCTAATATCTGAAATCGAATAGATAATTTAGACGAGGAATGTCTGAAACACAATATGACTGAAGCTTCCATTCTCTCAAAACATCTAGTTTCATGGATGATTCCCTTTTTCACATTTTCGGTTTAATGAACTAGAATAAGGCATTCACCCATCATAATATATTCTATCAGATAACAGTTTGTGGCAGATTATTCAGTGGAAAATGCTACGATGAGCTTTTTCTATTACAAAGTCTTTCAAATAACGTGAAAATTTCACCCGACGGCCACATAATTCCGTGGTAACATGCGCATTGCGTAGCCTATAATATGATCATTAAAAAGCAAAACTATTCGCGTAATTCATGCCAAACTACCAATTTCTAGCAGTTAAGAAACGTTTAGTGACTTCAATATTCTTTCTCGTTGTAAAAAGTGTCTCACCGCGTTTCTAGGAAACAATTCAAGTAAGAAGTTATGTTGATATAGCAACATCCTTTTTCATGCAATGAACAACTCCAAAAACTGGTATGTCGGCATAGAACCAAGCAAATGGAACAAGTATTTTTTGTCAACAAGTCTTATAAAACTTGAAATAAGAAAGGTAAGAATTGACTTTGTTCTCAGAAAGGAAGTGATAGTGATGCATATAATAAATGTTGAATAAAAATTTCAAGAGTTCAATTTCGAAATCCACATGAGTCAACGTTGAATAAAATATCAAGTTTATGAAATGACATGTCACGATAGTCTGAGATTAAAGAGACCCTAGGCAACTTTGCTATGGCGCAGGGTAAATATTTAGTTTCATGTTTCACCGACCATATGTATCCGGTCTTTGTTGAAAATAGTACCTGAATTTCAACTTGCGGACACCTAAATCTACAAAGAAGGTATTTTCTACTGAATAACCTACCGCACCTTTGATTCATTGAAAAAACATTGACATTTACTCATTAATAAAAAACTTAAATTCAAACCCACGGCTGTCAAATTTACTAATGTGCCGACTGAAATCTATTAAATTATCGCTGACAAACAACAAAAGTTATGATTAGGAATGAACGTAGGAATGACCTCAATATACAAACGATATAGGTATGACATCCGCGCGAAGGAAGCTTTAGCATGATTGTAATAAATTATCATAACATAATAAAATATTCGAGATTAGTAGGGCGTGAATGGTAGATAGGTAGGTACAATAATAGAAAATAAACTCATTTCAAGCAGGCTACCCAACAAAAAACAGAACCACTCATTCCATCAACATTACAGAACGATAAATCCAACTTAAGATTTGATAGGATGCACAGATAGAGTTTGATTTATCACGATCACTACCACGCCCGGAGCATGACGCTTGCGCCCATCCGACTCCGGTGCCCGAACGTCATCTGATAATTACATACTATTATCACAAGAAGGCTATGAAAACCATAGAGGAGACAATAAAATGTTTCCGCGTACACGACCACTCGAATCGGGACAACATTATCACAGCGATCAAACATTGTAGCACACTTGGTGAATTTGAGGAAACGTAGGACCCAAGGAGATCGCAGAACTCACGTAGGGATGTAGTCTGTGGGTTTTCAAACACTGTCGGTATTTGCCTGGATGCGAGTACATGAGTTTGTTCTCAGGTTGGTCAGGAGAGCGATCCGGGTCCGTCCAGTGGCCGGAATCGCTGCCCGTGGAACCGTAAGTCTGTCCGCAGGCAGACACCATGGGCTTGTTATTCCTATTGTAAGCGGCTTGAGTGGCCGCAGATATTGGCACAAGAGAAGATATATTCTCCCAGAGGTATCCCTCCGCTCCGGCGGCGTATTGAACGGGATACTGGGAGGCTTGCTGTGGCACTGGTTGGGGTATTTGCTGGCCCCTGGGTATCCGCCGTTTGATGGCCGTCGCCGCTCTGGGAGGCGGCAGATTGTTTATAAACGGGCTCCTCCGCTGACTCTCCATCTTTCTGAAGTAGTAAGGGTGGATCATCAACAGGGGCTCGTTCTTGACCCCTTGCGGAGGCTTCGCAGCGTTCGGCAACTCGTACTCGATGCTGCAATCGACGTGGAGCGGTCGCGAATAGTCCTTTTGCACAGGCACTTGCACTACTCTCTGAGGGGGTGACAACCCATACGTCGGATAACACGTGGCCATCACTCTCTTTCGACCGAACTTCGGTCCTCGACTGACTGTGCACTGGCGTAGCAGCGTTCCCTGTCAGCTGGCGGGGTGGGGGTAGGAAATCGATGCTCTCGCCGTTGTGAATGTCTGCGGGTACGTCTACGGATACTCGAATAGACTACGTCACGCACTAGAACAATTGACTGGCCCCCTGCCCGGTCTGGTCTATGAGTCGCCAGGCCAACTTGGCGTTTGAGCTGCCTGGCTCTGGCTGTCGGTGTGCTCTACTTATTTACTGAGCGTGTTTTACGACCATCCGGAGCTATCAAACATTTAATTATTACGTCACCGGCACGGCACATATCATGTGATTGCTATTCTTCGCACCGATGAACACTTGTCTCTCTTTCACTCTGCGCTCTATGATTATTTATTCTAATCAAGTGAACATGTGTTTGGTGTTTCTTGTTTATGTTGCTAATTATTTCGGAGTCTAATTAGTATGGTGTTCCTGAACATTATTTTTTGTCTCTTGGAAACCCGAATAGAGTTGATGTTCGATGCCTGAACATTATTTTCATGGGGGGCAGCATAATCTTTACAAAGTGACTTGAGAAAAATACAGCAAAAAACATTACCGGCGGCACGCGGTCCGTACAAACTTTTCAAAGGAACCGGCGGCCGCGGCGAATCTCTTCTGATCAAGCTGTCAAAGACTATAACCAGAGCTATAACTAATCCACTAATCCACTCTATCATAGATAACGGGACTGGACATGCATTGCAATAAGATCATGAATATTTTGGGCCAAGATTGGACGAATTACATCGGCAATGAATACCAAGTATAGGTACACATATTGAAAATAGTGGATACCCCCTCGATTATTCTATATCAAAACAATCTGGTGAACAATTCTAATAATGGAAGAATAGACATGAGTATAGGAAATATCACGAGAAATTAATTTGTAATTTGTTAGAACCTTCGAACGAATATCAGAAGTTAATAGTTATTGTCATTGGAAATAAGATTTTTCCTCCATATAGACATGTGCCTTGAAATGCACTCCTTCGTAGCTACAGCCACTGTAAAGTTCGAATCTTCTGAAAATTGGCATGCCCTTGTCTTTTTAGACACCTTATTTTCTTCTTGCTTCAAAAATTATGTTTTGAAGGACTTGAAGGGGGTCCACCCTTTTATTGGCCCAAATTGTATGTTCCAAAAGAGAATCTGACTGACTGAAAAGCATGATCTTGTAGTCCATAAAAAAATAAAAAATTCGGTATCTTGCATTACAACCTCGATTACAACTAACCGTTTTCCAAAAGGGGTTACGACATCGTTTTCGAACGCTATGGGTTAAACGTTTGCATATATACGGAGGTGATCCCACTAATATATTAACAATTAGTTTCAATTTTATATTCCTTCTATGAAAAAGCAAACTGAAGAGAGTTTATTGAAATTACAAGCGGTATTGTGTTGTCTGAGACGAGGAAAGTTCAATATAGCTATTCACACAAGGACTTTATAGTATAGAGTCACCAAACTTTTTACGATTCCCGGAAAAACTATCATCTATTCTCTTGTAAACTCACCTAGTGTTCTTCTTCGAAGCGGTCACAGATTAACAGGTTTTTTAATCTGTGAAGCGGTTTCACGCAAGTTCATAAATGCTTAAACTTTTGGCTACATATCAAAGAGTGAAATAAACGAAGAATTGAAATAAAAATAACTGAAATACCTGTGAAAAGGTCAACAGTCTGAGTATAGGCATGTATAAGGGTTTGAGATAAGTATTAATTGACTTACCTATAGGGTGAATGACTTAGCTTAGAATGAAGCCCGATATCATTTTTATTTTGAAGACATAAACTCGTTTTTGCTATCAACGTGAAACCCATGAAGGTCATTGAATAGAGAACACATAAGTACGATCAATTTTTGATAACACAATAAAATCCGCGATCAAATTACCGGTCATTGCAGTGAATGCGTACTTTTATGGCAGATAGATATGTAGTGATTTTCAGGTAGGTATATCTATTGTTTGTAGCTTGAAGAGTGCGGGAAAATTCATGAAGTGAAGTAAATTGAAAATGTGAGATAACTTTTATGAATATATAACTAATACATATATAGTTTCCGAGATAGTTTCACTCATAAAGTTGGCATCGTATGGGAAAAACTTCTAATACCTATATAATAATTTATTTTGAAATTTGACTTGGGCGTTGGGTTTTGCTCCAAAGAAGATTTAAAATGGCGTACACGGCCGAAGTCACGTGACTTTCGCTATATGTTAAAAATAAATCTTTTTTCAAATTAATCGCTGAAAACAGGCATATTTGTTCGAATTAAAAAAATACCAAGAAAAGTTGTTTCTTTTTCAATTTTACATGCATGTGTCTCATATTTGAACGTTCTATTTGAACGTTTAGTTGTTGATATTTTTTTATTTCTTCTAATTATAACTTCGTTAAAACTGTCCTAAACCTTACTGGTGGTTTAGTAGTTTGTAGATATTTTGATAAATAACTTTGACATCATTTCAGCACTTAAAAAATCAATTTGAATAAATTTCGCTCCTGAATGATCGATGATGATTGAAAGTAAGTAGTACGATAAAGATATACTAGAATTAAATTATTTTGTCGGTGTTATTTTTTTCTAATATCTCAGACATTTCGTGAAAATTGAAAAACATGCCTAATATAAATACATCACCAAAGAAAATTTTTAAACAAAAATACCTTTTACATAGGTCGTACATAAAAGGGGGAAAAGTATTCCTATATGTTCTAAGAAAATACGTCAACTCATCTATTTATATAATGGAAAAACAACCTCAACCTACATCACAATAGAAATGAACGGAAATGACGATTCAAGCACGTTTTAAGTATTCCCTATTGTACCTACCCTTACCCATACGCTCCAAAGAAAGTATAATATATGCACTGTACACTTACATGGTACCATAATATGGTACGGTCCGAAAAGCGCGTTTTTCCCCAAATACTACGTAATAACGTGATATCAATCCAATTATTTACTATATTATGCAATGAGAAGTTATCGATCTGTAAAGCGGCGTTCACAGTGAATTGAATTGAAACAAAAGACATTCTCAACAAGAAAAAAACGGTAATGTTGTGATTTTTCTTACTTTCCTCGGTTTTATCACTGTGTTTCTACCTAGAATATAGTGAAATTATCATAATAATAAAATTAACTAAATTATGATTTATTTTCACGAGAACTGGCGGACACGTAAATTGATCCTCATTCTATGCTTGCAGAAAAAAATCAATCCTACATAAAGAAAATATTGGGTTGGTTAGAACATCAATGAGGTGTGAGAATAATAATATAAAATTGAACATTTTCTACTATTCCCTGAATTCACAAGTATTCAGTATTTGGCTATTTCCATACTATTTTCACAGATGATCATGGCGTCATGCAAAGCAAGAAGCTGAATATTTCCAGCTTTTTGCGTCATTTTGATTCCAGATTTTGCTTCACCAAATATTGCCAACTATAAAAACTCGTGTATTAACAAGAAATCCTTTTTTACGGGACATCGTCATACATAGAAATAACCATATAGGAAATAACTATTTAACCCTCAGTGAGCTAACTGATTTTCCACAAATTTTTTGCTCTGATTTTGATCTGTTTGCGAGATACAACTGATCGTAAACTCGATCGTAACATTCTAAGGCGATAATCATTTCCAGAAAGGTAACTATAGGTAGTTTTTTTTCCACTTTTAGATTAAGAGTTACCGTTACTAAGAATCGAGGGTTTTAACAAAAATTCGTCTCATCCGTATTTATGGAAACAATGATATCTCAAGTTGTTATCAATTTAGAAAACCCGTGCGTAAAACGCTATAATATATAAGGTATATAAATTATACAGTTCTTACAGAAGTGGGCTATTGTCTTTAAAACCACACAGGTATTATGGTTTGGAATTTGTCAACGACATTTCAGTGAATTAAAAAACAATGGATTCGAAACAAAGATAATGGGGACTGGATCTTTATACACGTGTTTCCTAGGATTTAAAAAACAATGAATATGCATATAATGTGGCTTTAATAACATGCAATTATGACGTCAGGCTATTCTTCACACCAATGAATATCTGGCAGCTGCAATGCTTGAGTTATTCGTTTTAATGACGTGTTTTTTGTGGTTTTTTCTTCAATGATTTTCAAGTTTCAGATCATTAGCTTTTTCCTATTTCTATGACGACGCCTTCTGTATCTATATACAGGCCAATACAGGGTGTTTTAGTATTCATTAAAAGTCCTTCAAACTATACGAACTATTATATTATATTTGACCATAATACAAATTTCTTCTTGAGCTATTTTATCCAGAGCTTGAACAGAAAATAAGATTATAGACAGAAAGTACCTATTCATGTGAAAAAATATCTTTTATTTTTCATTCTTTCATCTAAAACAGCAATAAAAATACTGCTAACTTGCTATTTCAAACAATGTTGTATTTTCAATAATGACTATAAGTAACCGCAATGATTGACACTATATTTGATTAACCCTATACAGGCAGCCATAAGAAAAAATCTTGTTTCTGTAAATTTTTCTAGAAGTTAGCGTCTTCGGGCCATATAGTGTTTATGGGACAGTGCGTGTATTTATACAGGGTCTCTATAAATTATAGTAGATTCGTAGTGACCATTGAAATATTCTATTGATTTGCAGCTCTCCACTCGCCTTGATGCCTATACAGGGTGAGTCAAGAAACAGGGCGTTGAAGTTGCATTTTCGTTTTCGTTCTTTGCTAATAATCTCGGATCCACAACTCTCGTGTGCGGCTGATTTTGTCCTTAAAGATCGGATCATATGTGTCTGAGAAACTTTTTCAGATAGGTTGGCTCAATATGTTTAATCGAAGAAAACTACACTTGGATTGCTTACTTTATAAAGTCTTACAAAATAGATCTCCAATATACATGCATGATAAACTAACCATTGGTTCTGCCATTCACAACCGAAATACCAGGTACAGCAATCATCTGCATGATAATAAACCAACATAAAACATCTTTGTACCATAGATCATTCTCCTATAATGCTCCCAAGATATTCAATATGATACCAATAGCAGTAAGGAATAAAAAGTCATTTCTAAGCTTCAGAAGATCGTACAAGAATCACTTACTAGGCATATAGTAAACTTTACCAATCGCGTTCGAGTTGATTCCCCATATGTTACTCCTATCAAGTTTTGTCTTCTTATTAAATCAAATCAAATCCATACACTTGTTTGTAATTTCCATGAATGTATTTCATTATTGT